AACAAGTGAGAAGAGAAATTGGGCATAATAAAGTATCTTAGAGTCATGAGAGGGTGGTTCAAAGGAATAAAAAGAAAAAAATTAAATCGAGCTCAGAGAGAGAAGGCGACAGGCAGAGTGGATCTGAGAAAAAGGCCTTTGTCCTCAGGTGCAAGAAACGAACCGTGGTCTGAGTGAGCCCATTCCTGCTATATGTGGCATTACATTTGGCCTGAACAATGGTTGCTGCCTATATTTTTTTTTAGCTCACAAAATCAAAGAATCACGTAGCTTTTTCATCCCACTTGAGGCTCCAGGTAACGAAAGAAAAGGATGAATCATTTAAGAATATAACTTTGATGAAAAAGCCCTCCATCATTCAATGACACGATCGGTTTAACAACCCCCACGATGTTTGTCTAATAGAGAAATGACTATTTTTGGACTCCATGTAGCAGAAATGTATCACAAACATATTCACAGGTATTTGTGGCATAGGTCCACTTAGAGTACATGAAAGTTCAATTCTTGGATGCAGTCGGGTGTTTGTAGTGTTCTTATAACAGTTTGTTTCATAAGGAATAATTATGAGCCTTTTTTTTGAGAAATTAAAAAACACAGCAGTAGTCGCCAAGGTTTAAATAGTGCTTACTATGTGGCAGGCATTGTTTGATGTCCTTTTCATATATTAACTCGTTTAACCCTTACAGCAGCCCTATTAGGTAGGTACTGTTATGATTCCACTTTGCAGATGGGGAAACTGAGGCAAGGGAGGTTAAGTGACTTGTCCAAGGTCACACAGCTAGAAAGGAGCAGAGCCTGGATTCTAACGAACCAAACCCCCAGGTACCCACCCCATATTTGTCCATTGTTCATATTTTTCCAATTTGCTCCCTCTTACAATACATAAATATACTTTAAAAATATAACACTACATAGAGAGTTGCAGTGCCTGTTATATACTGATCCCCTGTCCCATAAATGTGTTTTGTGTCTGTCTCAGCCTATTAATAGTGATGTTATCAGCTAGGAATGCCTGGGGCACTACCTGGGCCTGTATCTCTTGTGGCCACCCCCACAGACATTTCCCCCACCAGAACCATTGTTGTGGCTGGACCAGCCCTTGTAGTTCTTTTTAAATGCAAGACACACCTCAGCAATAGCCATCAGGTAACTTTGCCAAAAACAAGGTTTATTACAAGTCCTGGAGGGTAAATGGCACTCCCAGGGTCACAGGCAGAGAGGTAGAGAGGCTCTGGGGTCCTGTCTTTATTGGGGTCACGGGTGGGTAGAGTGCTTAGGGTTTCATGGGATGCGAGAGGGCCCCAGTTCAGATCCCACATATGAGGGCCAGTGACACTGCCCTCCACAGCTAAGATGCTGAACAACAGCTCAACCTGGAGCTGGGCTGCTGTGAGTCACAGGCGACAGCGTAGGCTGCAGCCCCTGCTGCAGTGGGTTGCCGTGGGCTACCGTGTGTAACCAGCAGCCAGCGTGAGCGGCCAGCAGCCACAGTGAGCGGCCCTCCAGAAGCCGGTGACTGATCTGCCTCGCCCGAGAAGAGCGCAATGATGGTGCCAACTTGGGCCAGTGAAGCAACATCCTCCACAACTAGACTGAAGAACAAAAGGACAGCAACTTGCCTGTTCCCCTTCCCCCAATTCCCCAGCACTGTTCCCATCCCCCCAATTCCCCAATAAAAACAAACAAACAAACAAACAAACAAACATAACATAACAGCAGGAATTAAAGCACAGGAAGGAGAAGCAAGTGTCAAACTGTCAGTCAATCTAAGTTACCCAGGGCTTTCTAAAACATGAACTGAATGGTGGCTCTCTATCTAGCTGTGTAGCTGACAATAGAAGGTTACTTGAGAGGGATGTTTTCGAAATGGATCCCACAGCAATTAAAAACTTAATGTCATGCAATCAATCAACAAAGCTAATTGTCAGGCACTTACCCTTCAGTTCCTTTAAAAAATATTTTTACTCATACATATATGTCTTGTATCTATAGACAATATATAGTGTTATTTTTTGTTTCAAACATTTGCATAAGTAGTAATATACTCTGTTTCCTTTGTGAAACTTGATTTTTTTCTCTCATCATTATGCTTAGCTCCGTCTATTTAGACACATATTGATCTCTCAGACTGTACCATCCAGTCCTGTGGCAGCTGGCCACATCTGGCTACTGAGCACTAGACATGTGGCCTTTTGAATTTAGATGTGCTGTCAGTGTAAAATGCATGCTGGAGTTCTAGGACAGTACGAAAAACAGTAAAATACCTCTAGTAGCTTTTGATATTAATTAAATGTTGAAATGATAGTATTTTGGATATATTGGATTAACTAAAATATATATCAAAATCAATTTCACCTGTTTCTTGTTATTTTTTAATGTAACTACTAGAAAATTGAAAGCGACCTACTGGTATGTGGCTTGATTTACAGCTTGCATTATCCTTCTGTCAGAGAGCTCCGATCTAGGTCCTTCACCTTAGCTGCCACTAATCTGGGTTTTGTTAATTGGTAAAGAAGCAAGCCCTAAATCTGATATTTACAGTTCACAGATACTTTTTTAACTGATTTATATGTAATAACCCATTCAGTCCTCCTGGGAAGTTGCATGGCTGCACAAAGTGAGGCTGTGCAAAGTCATGCAATTTTAAACAGGCTGAGCTGGGACTGAAGTTAGACAGACTGGCTGTAATGGCCTGACATTGTAACTGCCAGCTTGACTGGAAAGGCCCTGTGAGAAAAGTGTAAATCTGCCTAAGGAAGCAATGACCAGGTAGCTTAATTTGGTGATGTCTCTAACAATATACAGTCCTTACATGTCAATAGAGCATTTGCCTTTTTCAACTTTTAATGGACCGGTTCTGAAGACACACATTTGTTGTGGCAATTTTAGCTTTACTGAAACCACCACAGTTAGTATTTTTTTGACACTGGCTTGCAGTGTTATGAAGCCAGCTTTACTCTTTGCCACTAATTATATTAACTATTTTTAGGGCAAATTGTCAACGCACCACACTCATTTATGCTTTCTACATTTCAATTTGTTTTCTTTAACCATGTCTATTTAGACCTAAAGTGGTTTTCTTTTTTTTAAAAAAGAGATAGATGTCCTCATTATTCTGCCAATAATAAAATTGGGGCTTGTAATTAAGTTATAAAACACACTGGGAGGGAAAAGATGACGTGTGATTGCCATGGGAATACTCGTATTACTGATGAATATTGGATTGCTTTTCAAATTCTAAATACAAATTTCACTTTAACATTTCAAATCATAAAGTTACAGAACAGGTAGAGATCCAAGGTTTCCTATGTGTTGGTTAAGACCATAGGCTTGGTGTCAGGCAAACTGTGTGACCCTGAGGCCAGTATCTTAACCATTGTAAGCTTTAGTTTTGTCATTGTAAGATCCTTTGTCAAAATGAAGATATTAATATCTACCTTCTAGAGCTCTTTTATGGATTAAATGAGGTGATTGTGACTCTGTTCTTTGTACCTACTTTTACTCCATGACAGTTGTAGTAATTACTGTTGTTGTTGTTATTACTATTATTATTATTACTATTGTACCATTATTATTTCCCCAGATAACTCTAAGGGTATACAGTCTCTTTAGGCACTCCTGGTCCTATCTCAACAGGACTTTCTCCTCCATTCTCAACCAGGGCACTTGAACTCTTCCCTTAGATAGAGAGGTTCATGGTTCACAGGAAGAAAACCCTGCAGCCTTCTCCCTCTGGGGTGCTGTGGGCAGCTCTCACTGAAGAAAGCTTAGCTGAGGCCCTTTACTAGAGACCCTCTCTCTATAGCACACACTCCAACATCCCTACTTCCTTCTGTGGTCTTGCTCCCCTAGGATCTGCCTCCATAAACCCCTGCTGATGCATCTGAAAATGTTAGGATTGATGCTTTCCCTGGGATCAGTTCCTTGCTCTGGAGTGCTGCTTTTCATCTTGCTACCTGAATGTGGACTTCCTTGCCTCTCCTTAAGGCTTTTTATGGTAGTCTGCAGAAGATGGGGGCTTTCCTAGCTCATGTCTTCTTCCGCTCACTAGCTAGGCTTAGGATGGGTGTCCCCACTGCCCAGAAATTTACTTGTTCTGAGGAACATAACCACAAACCCACCACAAGTCCCCCACTTTGGCCTAGGATGCTAGAGGGTCCTTAAACCAGGCCTTTGGAGATAACTGGATCTGAAATCAGAAAGCAGTGTAGGCTCTGCCATGACCCTGAGCTAAAGAATATGTTAGAGGTGAGGAAACTGGGGCCTAGGGGCTTAAGAAACTGGCATACAGGTACGGAGAATACCTGACGTTGACTTTGCTCTAGGATGATATTTATTCCTGGCACTAATGCCTTCTGCTTTGTATTAGTGAGGACAGCCTCCTGCATCCTCACCCCACATTTAGCACATCATCTATCGTCCAGATGGTGCATATTAAATGTTGAATCATTAGCTCCTCCCCATCCAGCCTTGCAGAACTTTGAGGGATGCAGTTTTTACTGGTACGTCTCTGCGTCCTTAGGGCTAGCACCAGGTCTCGCACTATCAGTTCCGTCAGGGTTTGCGGCCTCTCCTCCTGGAGGCTCCTGCGTGGTGTAGGCTGTAGGTCCTTCACCTCTGGATTCTCAACGCCCGTAGGGCCCAGTGCTTTAACATAACAGGTGTTCCGGTAAGTGTAGTCTACTCTGCTCACAGTTCAGGTTGTTTCTCTGAGGGTTGGGCCATGCCGAGCCTTATTTATCTCAAGCCTTCCTTCCAATAGTTGCTTTTGGACCCTCTTCGTTAAGTGACTAGGAATAAGATGTGATTTCTGAAATAAATTTCTTATTTCTGCTAATAATTTGGCTATCTTCACAACTAAACCCAGGCCACCCTAGACCTGCCAATCGCCCGTTGCCTAGTAACAGCCGCCCCGCCCCCGTGCCTTCGCCGGGCTCCGCGCCCAATTGCGCACGCTCACAGGTTCCTCCCCGCGCTGGCGTGCGGAAGTGACGTTGAGGTTCCGCGACGCCTTCCGCCGGCCGTGCGCTCCGGTCCCGGGGACTGGCCTACGGAATCCCGAGCGCCATGGCCTCTGCTGGGGTGGCCTCCGGGCGACAGGTTGAGGATGCGTTACCGCCGCCGGCCGAGCCGCCGCTGCCCGAGACGAAGCCGCCGCTGCCGGTCGCCGCGCCGCAGCCGCAGCAGTCGGCGGCGCCGAGGCCTCAGTCACCCGCGGGCGTGAAAGAGGAGAACTACTCCTTTTTACCTTTGGTTCACAACATCATCAAATGGTAAGGGCCCAGGAGAGGACCAGCCACGACATGCCCTTCCTCTTCCCGACACATGTTTCAGAGCTGCAAAGGCCTAGGCGCTCTTGGTTACACCCCCATTTTATAGATGGGGAAACTGAGACCCAGAGGGGGCGGAGGACTTTCCCAAGACCCCACTGAGTCGTTCCATGAGTTCTGCAGATGCTTGGAGCCCTATAGTTGCCAGACGTAGTGATGGATGGCCAGGCGATATTCTGAAAAATGAAGCCAGCTTAGAGACTAAATGCAGAGGCTTTGCAGTCAGACTGTTCAAGTTTGCGTCCTAGTGATCTGGAGCTAGTTAAGCTTCTCTGAGCCTCAGGTGTTTTACCTGTAATAAAGGGGGTAATACTCATTTTAGTTTCCTTTTTTCAACAGGTCCAACAGATAGGGGTCATCTTCCCTGTGTGGCCCACTGCCTGATGCTATGGGATGTACACAATAAAAGGGCCAACTTTTCAACCCTACATTGCTTACCACTTAGAAGGGGGAAAAGAAACAAACGAGAATAACTCATAATTCAAAAAGATTGGTGGGGTGATAATGGGAAACATTAAAGAAAACAAAGTTACAGAAGTTGCCCACCAGAATTGATCCCTGTAGTACTTTGTTCTAACATATCAAATGGGTGATTGTCCTCCTTTTGTCCAGTCTTCAGGTTAGCCTGAGCTTTCACACTGACCCAGTGAAGGAAACTAAAAACCACAAGAAAGTCTCCTTGATCCCCATATTTGCCTAACTTACTTTTACTGTTACGTTATTTATATCCACACGATACTAAGTGTAAACCGTTTGGCTTATAACTTATTCAACCATTAAAAACCAAAACAAAGTAAATTACAGTTACAATTATAATAATGTTCAAGTGAACATTCACGCACTCTTAGATGTTTTGCTGAACCAGAATTGCTACACACAACATAAAAGTACTGGCTGGTAGTGACCCAGCCTCTTGAGTTCAGCCAGACTAGATTTACTTGATGTGGAATGATGACCTGGTGCTTCCTCTGCTTTTCAAACAACTGCAGATTCCTTGTTCTCACATTAGGCCCTGGCTTCATTTCGCTTTGCTTGATGACCACACTGTTTATAGGGTAAGGCAGACTTTGTTCTCGTTAGCCTGTGATCATCAAGTAGCACTTCTCTGCAGCAGTAAGAGCACAAACAGCATCAATGCAGACCCTGCAACCCCAGGGCAGTGCTGGATTACAAATGTATGTTTTAAGGAAAACACGGAAAGATAAAAACACAAAATGTACACATTCTCAGAGACAATGCTTGCCCTTGGGAGTATGTTCTTGAGCCCTAGTAGAACAGGCTGGCCTGGCTGAGCTGGCCTTATAGATGGGGCAGTCAAGTACACTAGCGAGAACGTGGGCTTTAAGGTCAGCCTTGGATTAAAATCTCATTCTGTTGCTTGCTTGCCTTGTAATCTTGGTGAAAACCTTTCTGGGCCTTAATTTTCTTTTCTCTAATATGTGAATAATAATAATGGACTTCAAACAATGAGTTCAAACTCTAGCTTTATACTGTACTGACTGAGTGACCTTGGTCAAACAACTTAGCTTCTCTGAGTCCGTCTTTCTCTTGTAAAATGGGACTAATAATACTTAAATTGTAAGATTGTTGTGAGGTGCACTCAAGAGCAGTCTCTGGTGAAAGATGGTGGGTTGATTACGTGTTTGTCTTTGTTTCCTCTAAAAGGACAGCGAAGAGTTGTTTTGTTTTAAGCACAAAACCAAAAGAACAGGAGAGAAGCTAATTGCCACCCCAAGAAGCAGCCTGAAGCAACTTCTTTTGACCATGGCCTCCCCCCAAATCCCAGGAATTGGCAGTGCCAGAGACCTCTGGATGTAGGAGTGAAGGGGGACTAAGAACAGGAGGGTTACTTAAGAGGGAGATCCCCATAGTTCTGTCCCCCGACTCAAAGCAGACAGGTGACTACCCTTCTTCCATCTTGGAAGTCAATTAAAGGGTTGCTCTTTCCCAAGATTTCTTGTTAGGAAAGAATAAGCCAGAGAGTATCAGGTCTGGAGGGACACCAGGCACATTGCCAGAGTTTGAGGGAGGGAACCATACAGAAAACTGGGTTTTAGAGAAAGTTCACACACTGAATACTGAGACCCCACCTTTGCCTTTCCCCACCAGCTTCTAGAGTGGCAGCCAGAGACAATAGGGGTACCTTCTCAAGTGGCTGAGCAGCCCAAGAGAAATGTCATTGGGGGCTGGCTCCCCAAGAAAGAACCAAGTCAGTTTATATGACTGGGTAGCCAAGGTCACTAAGCATGTGAAGAAAACCCTTAGGACAAAACAGAAGAGCAGAAAAAGCCACTTGGAGGAAACGGTATGCACAGAGAAAAGAGAAACTGTAACCATGAAAACAGGATCCAGTTTTAAAATACTCCTAGGTATATATTTGAGTTTACAGGTGAATGAAACAGACTGTGGTAAGGGCAGTGATGGGAGAGGAGACCTTGTGAAGCCTGGAGGAATCAGAAGGCACGTTAAGGGTGATGCCAGTGATGAGTCTTAAATTACGAAAGAGAGAAGGGAAGGAGGGAGGGGGCTATAGGAAGAGCACGGGCAAGGATGGGGCACCAAGAAATAGCATCACCTCCTGGGGGGTCCACTCGGTTGGGACTGGAACACAAATCCAGGGTAGGAAGGGAGAGCTGGAGAGGCAGGAAAAGCCAGGATACGAGGACAGTGAGTCCCGCTTTGGGAATGAGATTTTGTCCTGTGAGGGGTGGGGAGCCAGTGAGGTTTTCGAACCAGGGAGTCTTAGATTCGTCCTCAAAGTGGATGTGGCATCTCAGCTTACAGGCTGGGAAGCCAGTTAGGAGGGATACCATCCTGGCAGGCCTGCCCAGGGAACGCGGGCTGGGACGAGCTCAGTTGGTCACCCCGGCCCTTGATCCCTTCCTCTGTAGCTTGCCTGTGGCCCTTTTATTATCTGTTTACTCCTTGCCCAGGGGATGAATAGGGAGCTAAAAGCTGGAGTTTAGCCTTTCTTGTTCTTGTAAGAATTCAGAGTACTACATCATTAGGGTTTTAAGATCATCCTGTACTTTGCTTTTTTCACATAATCATCTGTTCTGGACACCTTTCCATACTCACAGGGAGGTCTTTGTCTATAAGATGGCTGCACCATAAGTTATGTGACTACTCTTCTGCTTATGGACTTGAGGTGTTCTCTAATTTTTGCTTTTACTGGCAGTGCTGGGGTAAGCACCCTTGTATTTAAGTAAGTGTACAATGAAGTAACTCCTTAAGCAGTGGGAGTGCTGGAGCGGATGGTACATGCATTTTTAATTTTGATAGGTATTGCTAAATTTAAAGTGCTGCATCTTTTTAGCTCTTTGTCCAAAACACAGTCCTGTAGACTGGACTGCTTTGGTTAACCTACAATGGCCCATAAACCTGTGACCCAAAAAGCATTTAAAAAAATTAAAGTTGGGCCGGCCGAGTGGCGCGTTTGTTAAGAACTGGCTTGGGATGCCTGAGGGCCCCGGTTCAGATCCCACATATGAGGGCCAGTGACACTGCCCTCTACAGCTAAGATGCTGAACAACAGCTCGACCTGGAGCCGGGCTGTCGCCAGCGACAGCGTAGGCTGCAGTCCCCTGCTGCAGTGGGTTGCCATGGGCTACCGTGTGTCTCCGGCAGCCAGCGTGAGCCGCAGTGAGCGGTCGTGCAGAGGCCGGCGACTGATCTGCCTCGCCCAGGAAGAGCGCAATGATTATGCCAGCTTGGGCCAGTGAAACAACATCCCCCACAACTAGACTGAAGAACAAAAGGACAAAAAAGCAACTTGTCTGTTCCCCTTCCCCCGATTCCCCAGCGCTGTTCCCCTCCCCCAATTCCCCAATAAAATCTTTTAAAAAAATTAAAGTTGTAGATATATTCAGAGAGCACCCATCGATATAAAATGGCAAGTGAGTCTCTCCCTCCACTTCTGCCAACCCCCTCCCTTGTCTCAGAACTGCATAATACTCTATTTTATGAATACGCCATTTATTTAAACAGTTCCTTGCTCAAGGACCCTCATTGTTTTCGACATTTTGCTGTTGCAGTCAGTGCTGCAGCAAACCTCTTTGTAGGTGCTGATGTGTAAACTCTTGAGAGTCTCTGAAACGTAAATTTCTAGCAATGGGGTATGTGAATTTAAAATTTTTATCACTATTAGCAAATTCAGAAAGAATGTACCAAGTTATGCTTCACCAGTGGTGCATCTGTATCTCTCCCACACCCTTCCATCACCATTCACTTTTTAATTTTGGTTAATCTGATAGGTCAGAAGTGATACATTGTAATCTGATCTGTGTCTTTTATTATATCAGGTAAAGCATCTTTTCGTATGCAACTATATGTCATTTGTATTTTTTCCCCATAAATGCCCATTTTTCTGTTATGCCATTCCTCTTTTTATGAGCTCTTTGTACAGTTAGGAAAGTATGCCTTTGTCTGATAAGTGTTTTGTAAATACTTTCTCTGAGTTGCTTTTCTTTTGACTTTGTTCCTGGGTTTTCTTTGTTTTCTTTTTTCTTTTTCCTTTCAGAAGGGTATCATTTTATGTAGGCAGATTTGTTAAGATTTTCCTTTATGGCTTCTGAGTTTTGGTCCTAGTTATTAGAAAGGCCTTCCTACTCTAATAATATGATAGATATTGATCCCTTTTTTCTAGAACTTTGAAGGTTTTATTTTTTTACTTTTCTTTGATGCTTCTGGAATTTATTTTCATGGAAAGAATAAGGGAGAGGCCCAGCTTCTTCCCCAGATAATCATCTTCCCCCTGCTGTTATTGAATATTTATGATTTTCCCTGCTTGAGCTGCTGCCCATCATACACTGAATTCTCATATGTTTTCTGATCTGCTTCTGGACATTCTATTTTCCAGTACCAAACTGTTTTAATTCTCAGATCTTCATGGTAAATTTGTCTTTCAAGGCTGGTCTTCTCTTTGTTGTCTTTCTTGTTGGTAT